CAGAAGATATGAAGACATGGTTCTGTTATTATCCAAAGTTATACTTCTTTGTTTGCTGGTCAAACATTAATAAAAATTGACATACCTATATCTCTTTCCTTGGAGGAGACGATTTCCAAGAACATACTGCCGTTAACACTAGACCAGTTGGAAACCAAGTGAACGCAGATAAACCTGGCACACAAGAAAATAAACATGGTACATTAAATGATAAAGCTATGTTTAACGATGGCGCCATTTCATCAAGCAATTCGATGTTTTGTTCATTTTAATCTTTTTCGTTTCACTAATAGTCGCCTTATCTTGTTTCTGGCTATCTCTTTCACCTAATTTAGGTAGCAGCTGAAGTAGGAAGCGACAGTTTTTTAAAACTATTTGTTTATTTTGCTTCACTTAAACCTCTATTAAGTGAAACTTTCGTTAAGCCCTTTATTAAGCGGACAGTTAGACAGTGTTCTCACTTGGTATCCGAGCCCTGGGGCCTGGGCACCTGCTCAAAATAGCGTTGCGTTCAGACGCTGGTTACTCGAAAGACCCGAGTCGGGCACGGGCACTGTGGCCCGAGAATCGTACTCTTGGACCGTGCATGACACCAAGTGTAAACATAGCCTTAGTCCTGTTTGTCCCAAAATTGGCGTCTTTTGTTTACCTATTCAGCAGACACCTCTATGAAGAAGACTCGGGCACTAAAATGAATTATGCTGTCAACAGTATTTTACATTGCGGAAAATTAACAAATAACATTTTTAAGACTGAGGCTACGATATGACGATTTTCGATTTTTAAATCGAAAATCCCTATACTGTAAAAAGTACTTATAAACAATTTTTCATTGGCAGATGACTTTAACACACAGATCAACCCTTACAAAGCTTATGGTCACGTCAAAATCATCTTGTTTTTCATTGGTTATCCACGCAGTCGTCACTCTCTCCTTGGTTCTTTACTGGATGCTCACCCGCACATGGTTATAGCAGACGAAACAAATGCCTTCGGCAAGTGGAGCTCAAATCCAAACAAATGGATGAACCATTCAGTATACGCATATTATGACACTATTTTTAATGCTTCACAGCGTGCAATCAAACGAGGAAGAAGGTCAGGAGTATTTAAAGAAAGCGTTGTGAATACAACCTCTAAGTATCGTTATTATGTACCAAACCAATGGCAAAGCACGTTTGATCAATACATTGAGGTAAGCCGAATGTGAGACATGCATTATGCACTGAAATCAAAGGATTCAATAGGTATCTCGTGCATTCGCGCAACATATATCGCGATGGCAAACGGATATGAAGAATTACAACTGAGCTTTTTGTTGTCGTGCGTAAGTGTTCTAATTAATTAACTAATTTTCTCCAAATATTTCGGTACATAGATCTTACGATCAGTATTCTTCGTAAACGTTTTACTTATTATAGGAAATGTAGCTTCGGATTTTTCCTTGATTCTATCAACAGATCATTGGAGACAAGGCAGGCGGGTATACAGCGTTTGCGATGAAGAGAACGAATGCGGTAGAAGCCGTTCACCTTTTAGAGAAAACTGCGGGCGCTAAGGTGAAGTTTGTTCACGTTGTGAGAAATCCATTTGACAACATTGCGACCATGGTCCTGCGGAAAAGAGACATAAAAGAACGGTATGGAGAACATAAACTAAAGGTAATTTACTTTTCTTCACCAACAAAATCAAACCAATAACAAATGCTTGCAAAGCAAATTTTAATTCGATTAATTATTTTTTCCCCTTTATTGGCCGAGATCCGAAGACGTGACCTCCAAATAACTGCCGATGTATAATGGTCCACTCATTCATGCGCGATATCGTTTAAATGTGCCTTGATGCAAATAGTATTCTGTTCATGCGTAATTGCACCCACGCTCTTGTGTGAAAAATGGCAGATCGATTCCCTGAGCTGCCAGAGAGTGATTTAAATATGAAAACAAACTTGGTGATCGAATGATAATACAATTATTGAACTCGATTATCGTAAAATATTGTTATTTGTCAGCGTCTTCCAGATCAATTATGAATTGCTCATCACTGACAAGTCACCATATTTGTTTATTATAGATGTTAATTCGGTCTCAAGACATTCAATAAGTGCACTCCTAATTTGCGTTCACAGGTTAACGCTCCTGAAGAACTCGATACAAAAATAAAGACTTACTTCAGTATGGCCGAGGGATGTAACTTGGCCAGGGAAACTTTTCCAGGCAGCGTCATTGATGTACCAAGCATAGAGATAGTCAAGAACCCGGTGGAAACCCTGAGAAGAATCTGTCAGTTCCTTGAAATCGCGTGCACAGAGCAATATCTTCTGGATTGTGCAGCCACTGTGGACCCGGTCCCCTCCATAACACGTGATTTCATAGAATGGACCGCTGAACAAAAACACAAGGTGTACGACATGATGGGAAAATACTCCTTTTTCGAAGGGTATTCTTTTGACAAATAAATAATTGCTATTGCCAGTTTTCATGTGACGTCATCATTTTCTTAAATAAAAATTACCAATCGTTCTGAAGTTTTAGTTTCATCAGATCTAAGAACTTGAATTTTTACAACGTTTAAGCTCGACAGGGTACTTCGTTTCGCAATAGAAAACGTTTGAATTTTGAAGTTAACGTGTTTGGTGACATCAAAATGGCGGCCCTAACCCGGCACTCTCATATGAAAAGATTGGGAATGCTCGTCAGAAAATTTGAATTAAACCCCTATAGGAGACCAATCTTAGCGTGTCTCGAGCTTTATTTGACCTCTAAAAGATATCACTTAAAACTCAATAAGTTCGGTTACCAAGCGCTGTTTAGGAAAAGAGCCCGCCCTAGAAGACCGGCGATAATGAAGCCTAAAATCGGAAATTAAGGGGGATTTTATTATTATTTCTTCGAGTGCACCCTAAAAGATACTTTGACAGCTAAAGATAGCCGTGTTTCGTCATGAACACCCTGTGAGGCCAAAATCCAAATCGAGACAACGAACATCCCCGACCTTTTCATATGGGAGTTTCCTCTCTGCCTCATCGCAAACGCTACAGTTCCGCCTCTCTTGTCTCGAATCACCTATTGATGGAATTAATGAAAAGTTCCGAAGTTATAATATTTCTTGTACTGACTGTCGAACGTTGACGAATAATAATCGTAAGAGCAACCGAAATATTTGGTACCTTGTTCGAAACCGCTGAACAGCGTTCATCACAAATCAAGTGTAATTTCAAATTTCAAATTTAGGTTTTATTTGCTTTTTCAGTTGTATTTTTTCTGTTTTTTTTAATGTCATTTTATTTTGTTTTTGTTTTTTTTTTAATCACAAAAATATTTTCATTTAAAATCAAAAGTAAATAAATCAAGAAATTAATTTAAATCAAAGAAAATGTCTCAAAAATTCTAAAAATGAAAGTAATTTCAAACGTAACCAAAATTTGCTGCGAAATAAATTTTAAAAAAAATTTTAAAAAAGTTTAAAAAATATAGTTTGAAAAAAAGGCATTTTAAACTAAATTAAGGACGGTGCCTACTAAATACAAAGGTTTATGCGCCAGCTTAGGACCATGTGGAAAAAGTAGATCTTTGCAAGGGCTATTGGAATCCACAAAGAAAAATGGGGATAGCCACGCATTTTTTTCGAGATAATTAGCATTGAATCGCAGCAAAATGCTGACATCAACATTTTCCTAAAAAAGAAGGAAAGGATATTTCTTCACAGATTTCCTTAGAATTGGCCTTTACATACAGAAAAGCAGACACATTTATAAAGATCTTAAAACTTCATGGTAAAAACTAATATAAAAACCTTCTTTGGTATGTTTTTAATAACAAAATCATTGCAACAGCGCTTTTGGAGTCTCTGACAGCCTTCCTCTGGTTCAGCTTAAATACAGTCTAAATACCTTTTGCTCACAACCAGAAACTAATCACGTGTTGAATAGGCTTGTCACTTCCATTTCATAACATAAAATGTAGGGGTAACCACGCGCTTTTTGAAGTTATTGATCTTTTTTGAAAAGTTTTACGGTGCTCGTTACATTTTTTCCTGTCACCTCCCCAGTGAGTGAAACATCGGCATATCTCGCACTTGTTTTGCGCGCGCACCACGCAATCTGCAGGTACATGTTTACAGTTGGATTTCAATAGAATTCTCGACAGTCAACAGCTAGTTTTTCAGCTGGAAGACGTTAACAGTTAGTGGTTAGCGATATGCTGCTATTCTAGTGCTCCTGGTTTAAGTAAAAGTTCATTAAATTTGATTTGTTCACAGTAGGAAAATTTTGCTTTCGTTTTTGTCGTGTACATGGTAGCGTAGTTGATTGCGTCAATGTCAATCCAGCGCGCGCACGGCGCTTCGCGCGCTTAAACCATGCCTTGCATGATGCGCAGAACGTGTGCGCACTAACAACAGTAGGCACCGTCCCTAAAAACAAAATTGTCTGTGGCCTATCGCTGCCATAGCGGAAAAAAAACAAACAAACAAACAAACAAAAAAAAAGCGTGGCCTATCGTTGCCAAATACCAGAATGCATTTCGGTGCATTTATCAAGGTCAACGGCAAACATGGCAGCCGGAGGTCTAAATTGGAACAAATTTAAAGATAAAATGAAAGAACTGTGCCAAGGGAGAAATGGGAAGAAGGATTCTGGCAAGTCAGCAAAAAACCTTGAAACCGTAGTTGTCCAGCGCCTTAGCGCAGAGGTTTCTGGCAAAGCTCAGAAGAACTCCCGAGTTGGACACGCGAGTTCGTGTCTTTCGAAAATTTCGACAAACTCTCCAGTGACAACAATGGGGGTGACAGGCCTACACAGATCTCATACCTACGTGCAATAGTCGCTTTTAAAGTTTGCTCGAACGAGTATATCTACGCCATTTACCCCCACCCAATTTTTCTGAGAGTACCCCCGGGGGGGGTGGGACAAGGGGGTTGCTTCATATCGTGATCGAAATTATAACATGTGAAATCGGCTGCGCTTTACACAAGTGTATGCGCGTACTGTATTTTTTGTATTAACAATTTCATCATGGTTTAAGGGGACGCTAAAGAGCCCACAGACTTATCGCAAAGGGTAGGGGGCAGAGTTCCCGGTGTTGTGGTCTGGCCTTGTCTCAAGGGTTGGTGTTTCGCATAGGGTTAACTTCATTGCGCCTGTCCCTCTCGGACAGAACTACCCAAGAAAAATTGATATCTCTATGTCTTTCATCATGGTCGGTACCATGTGTAAGGTTGCGGCCTACTCAAATTCTTCAGGTGTACCGTGTCTCAGTTGCTAAAAGAAAAATACGCACAGAAACGAGAGGGACAAGAAATCTTTATCAGCTGATTTCGTCATCTGACGAGTACGGCAATTAATCTCTCTCTACTAATTGACCAACAAGTGTAGGAATGTGTGGGCATATGGGACGACTGACCTTGGAAGATTAAACATCTTTAACCCAAACGCTTGCATACGACTCCCGCGAAAGAAAAGCCAAGCACTTGCCAACGAGTAGAATACTCAGCCTTTAAAAACTTACACCAAGACCGGAACTTCAGTGGAGAACCTAAACAAGGTCGGTAGATACACCCAAATATGACCAGCGGTGGAAGCCAGTGTTGTCACTTCCTAGGCAAACCGAATAAGGAAACTAAGAACCTTGACAAGATGTGTGGGCAAACCTTGAACCGCGAATGATCATAAGATTGACACTAGACGAACCCATACTAAAAATTAAGTGCCACACAAATCATAGTTACCAACTATTCACAAATTTAGCTTCTCGACAATAGTTTCGGTTGATGCCGACTCAGATCACTTTGCAGCATAACTTATGTATTATCTTCAGAGTGATTTTCAAGCGCGAGGCCTTCATTCTGAGCTGCAAATGTTGCAAAGAACGGTATTATCTCTTGCTGCCTTCTTGCTTCATCGTGATTTCGCATGCTTTTTTTCTTTTTTAAATCCCCCTGCACCTCCCTTATGGAGTCAAATTTCCCACCCCGATATTAAACACAGTTATCAAATTCCTACACTTCCCTCCCCCCCCCCCCCCCCCCCCCCCCCCCCCC